GCCTGGCTAATTTTTTTATTTTTTTGTAGAGACAGGGCCTCATTATGGTACCCAGGCTGGGCTCAAACTACTGACCTCAAGTGATCCTTCTGCCTCAGCCTTCCAAAGTGCAGGGATTACAGGCATGAGCCACCAAGCCAAGCCTGAATGTCAGTTTAATCACCATCTGAAAGGACCCTTCCAATGAAGCAGGTCAGGTCTGGGGACAATGAGCAGATCAGATTGAAAAAAAAAAAAAGACAAAAGCTGGTGATACCTAGTGTTGGAGAAATAAAAGGAAATAAATTTTCCTATACACTAATGGTGCCACAGTGGCATATCCATGTTCTAAGGCCCATATTTGGGCTTAATAACTTGAATGGCATTTGATGCAGAAGTCCTATTTCCACCAACAAAGGAATTTTCTTACAAGGGCATAGAAAAGGCTTATCAAGGTGATGCTGATGTGCATGCTGGTTAAGGGATCCTGGTTGAGGGGCAGGTCAAGTTGTCCTATGAATACCTTGCTCCAGAGAGGAAAGACACGTTCTATTTAAGATACAGATTACTTAGAGGGGTCCAGCTCCAGGTTCTTCATGTTAATGTCTGAATTTAATCTCATGACAACCCTGCTGGTGAGGTATCAAGATCCTTTCTTCATGGATGTATGTAAGTACAAAGCACAAACTCCTAACCACAGAGACAGAAGGCAAAGAGGTTGTTCACCACACACACTGCCAGAGCCAGGGATAGAGCCTGCCAGCCTGGGCATCTTGAGTTGCTGGTGGCAGATCTTTAGCAAATCAGGACACATACTGTTGAGGAAGTTAATCTCTGATCTCCCTGTGTTCACCTTCCCTGAATTTCCAGCAGGGAACCAGGCTTGGTGCCCCTTCCCTTTGCCTCATGGAAGGTTTATGGCAGGGCCCAAAGCAGAAGCTGTCTGAAGCCAACATTTACTCCATCTTTTGTGAAAACTTAAATTTAAAAAAAGGGCTGGCCGGGCGCGGTGGCTCACGCCTGTAATCCTAGCACTCTGGGAGGCCAAGGCGGGCAGATTGCTTGAGGTTAGGAGTTCGAAACCAGCCTGAGCAAGAGCGAGACCCCCATCTCTACTATAAATAGAAAGAAATTAATTGGCCAACTAATATATATAGAAAAAATTAGCCGGGCATGGTGGCGCATGTCTGTAGTCCCAGCTACTTGGGAGGCTGAGGCAGGAGGATCGCTTGAGCCCAGGAATTTGAGGTTGCTGTGAGCTAGGCTGATGCCACGGCACTCACTCTAGCCTGGGCAACAAAGCGAGACTCTGTCTCAAAAAAAAGAAAAGGGCTGTGCTGCTTGTACCTAGTAGGGAGAGGAAGAAAATTTCTCCCACACCAGGATGAGGCCAGAGTCTACAGGTCACTCTAGTAGTAGGGACCTGAGCACTGCTCCATATTAATGTTTAGGGTAGATCCAGGGAAAGTTCACAGAGGCTGGCATCCAGCCTTGAGACCCATTTTCCTGTTTGGATGGCAGGCTGGATGGAGCAGGGTCAGGGGTCCTGAAGCCAGCTAGGGAAATGGTCAGCTCCACCCTGAGCAATGGGGACACGTGAGTGATGACAGAGGCCTCCCCAGGCTGTATCTAGAGAAGTTCCCACAAGTAGGACTGCTTTGGCAAAGATCATGAGCATTTAACATTTTTAATACTTACTATCTAGTTGAAATTTTAAATCTCTTTAGTAATGTGTATGCCAAGCAACTGTAACATGAACACCTGTTTCTACAGATCTGTGCAATAATGAGTTTCCCAACATTATTAATATTTGCTAATGCAATATCCAATTGTTGGAATGATAGACTACTCTTCATTTTTCTCCATCTATTTCCATTATAAATGACATGTTTCACATGTGCATTTCTAAATGCAAATATAATGGTTCCACATTATCCCTCAGAATATATTCTGGAATAATTCTAGAGTTTGTCAAGAGAATCTGATCAGTGAGTATGTATTATGCTGTCTTTTGTTTAAATTGAAATTGTAGAGTCATGAGAACACCACACACTGCTGGGGGAGGGCAGAGTGGTATAACTTCTTTGCAGAGACACTGGGCAACAACTATGTGAGAAGAAAGCGAGGCCCATCAGCTGCTGCCCTCTGAGGTCTGCCCTGCAGGGAGTCTGGGGTCCCTGTGTACGCCTGGTCATGGCAGCATGGCTAAATATCAACACAGCCTCAAAGTAACCTCACTAGAGAAACCTCAGAAACACCATTTTGAGAGGAAAGAATTTTAATAAATTGCCACTATGGTTTGGATGTTTATCCCCTCCAAACCTCATATTGAAATTGGTTCCCCAATGTTGGAGGCAGGGCCTAATGGGAGGTGTTTGAGTCATGTGGGCAGGTCCCTCATGAATGAATTAATGCCCTCCCTTGGGGGTGAATGGGTTCTCACTCTGTCACTTTCCAGGAGAGCTGGTTGTTTCAAAAAGCTCTGGCACCTCCCCCCCTCTCTTTCTTCCTCTCTCACCATGTGATCTCTGCACAAGCCAGCTCCCCTTCACCTTCTGTCATGAGCGGAAGCAGCCTGAGGCCCTCACCAGGTACAGATGCCCAATCTTGAAACTTCTAACCATCAGAATCATGAACAAAATAAACCTGTTCTCTTTGTAAATAAATGACTCAGCCTCAGGTATTCCTTTACAGTGTCAACCCAAATAAATGACTGAGGCAAAAATCTCAATCAGTGGAGGTTTATTAAGCCAAGATTGTGAGGACACCCCCAGGAAAAATATGAACCACAGACAAGCTGTGGCTATCTTTCTGAACGGGAAGTTGGAACCTTCAGCATTTTAAAGACACACAAAGAGAAGGAAAAAGGAAGAGGGGAGGGAGGCTGCTAAGGTAGTGGTTACATTCTTGTGAGGCCCAAGACTTCTACATTTTACATAAAATAAGCCAGTGAAGGAAGTGTCAATTATGTAGATGTCCCTGGGGAGGTGGAAGAACGTCTGATTCTGTGTTTTCTCCAGTTCTGTCATCTATAAAATAAACTTGTAATTCATTATTAGTGTGGAATCACATAGGCTTTAGTTTTACATGCTAGACATAGGTATAATTTGTGTGTCCTTGCTTAAGGGAGGTTAGCAAGGAATTTCCTTAATGAATGATCTGCAGGGCCAATTCTTACAGGTGCCTAAGGCCTTTACATTCTCTTTTTGCATAAGGAGTTAGGGGGTGACCCTGAGAATTTTCTTTTTACAATAGCAACACTAAATGGACTAAGATAGAAAATTGGTACCAAGGAGTGAGGTGTTGCTTTAAAGATACCTGAAAATGTGGAACTGGATAATGTGCAAAGGTTGGAAGAGTTTGGAGGGCTCAGAAGAAGATAAAAAGACAAGGGAAAGTTTAGAACTTCTTAGAAATTGGTTAAGTGATTATGAACAAAATGCTGACAGAAACATAGACAATAAAGGCCATGCCGATGAGGTCTCAAATAGAAATAAGGGACTTACTAGGAACTGGAGCAAAGGTCACCCTTGTTACACAGTAGCAAGGAACTTGGCTGCATAGTGTCCATGCCCTATGTATGGCTTTGTGGAAGTCTAAACTCAAGAGCGACTAACTAGGACATTTGGTGGAGGCAACAAAGAAATGACCTAAAGGCAGAATTTATAATTAAAAGGGAAGCAGAGCATAAAAATTTAGAAAACTCCCAGCCTGGCCATATGACAGAGAAGGAAAGAGTATCTTCAGAGAGGAATTCCAAGGGTGCAGCCCAGGGACCGTTGGCTAAAGAGAATAGCATGACTAAAAGGCAGCCAGGTGCCAGTAGTCAAGATGATGAAAGAGAATGCCCCAAAGCCATTTAAAAAATCTTTGAGGCCACTGCTCCCATTACCAGCCCAGAGGCCTAGGAAGACAGAATGGTTTCTGGGGAAAGGCCTGGTGCACGACTGCCCTGTGCCACCTAGGGAGGCAGCTCCCCAAATCCCAGCCCCTCTGGCTCCAGCCTTGGCTAAAATGTCCCCAGGTACTGCTCAGGCTGCCACTCTGGAGGTCCAAGCCATTAAGCCTTGGCAGCTTCCACGTGGTGTTAAGTCTGCAAGCACCCAGAATGCAAGAGCCATGGAGGCTTGCCAACTTCCACCTAGATTTCAGAGGCTGTATCAGAAAACCTGGGTGCCAGGGCAGAAGCCTGCTGCAGGGATGGAGCCACCACAGAGGGCCTCTACTAGGGCAATTGCAAGTGGAGCTGTGGGAGCAGGGCCACCACCTTCCAGACCCCAGAATGCTAGAGCCACCAGCTGCAATGCAACACTAGCTTGGAAAAGCTGCAGGCACCAAACTCCAACCTGAACTACACCCAGCAAAGCCATGGGGATGGGGCTGCCCCAGGCCTCCAAAGTCCATCCCTCAAGCCAGTATGTCCAGGATGTAGGAAATAGAGTCAAAGGAGATTATTTTAGAGCTTTAAGATTTAATGTCTACCCAGCTGGGTTTTGGACTTGCATGGGGCCTGTTACCCTTTTCTTCTGGATGCTTTCTCCCTTTTGGAATGAGAATTGTTTACCCAGTGCCTGTACAACCATTGTGAATTAGAGGTAAATAATTTGTTTTTTATTTTACAAGGTCATAGCTGGAAGGAACTTACCTTTTGAGTTGAAGCTGAAATTAGTTAAAACTTTTGAAACTATTTGGATAGAAGACTGTTATGTTGAATGTGCGGACATGAGTTTTGAGAGTGCCAGGGATGGAATGCTATGGTTTGGATATTTGTCCCCTCCAAACCTCATGTTTGATTTCCAGTGTTGGAGGTGGGGGCCTAGTGGGAAGAGTTTTGGTCACTGGGGCAGATTCCTCATAAAGAGATTAATGCAGGCATCCTCAAACTATGACCCACAGGCCACATGCAGCCCGCCAAGGACATTTATCTGGCCCACCAGGTGTTTTTGCCTCCACTGCCTGTCCTGCTTAGCAGCTGACTCATCCCCAGCCCACAGTGCGCATGTGTGGAACGTGCACTGCACTCTCCAACGGTCTGAGGGACAGTAAACTGGCCCTCTGTTTAAAAAGTTTGAGGACCCCTGGATTAATGCCTTCCTGGCAGGGTGGTGAGTTTTCACTCTATTAGTTCCTAAGAGAGCTCGTTGTTAAAGAGCCTGGTACCTGCCCCCCTCTCTTCCTTCCACTCTCACCATGTGATCTCCACACAAGCCAGCTCCATGAGGGCCTGCCACCAAGAGTAGAAGCAGCCTGAGGCCCTCACCAGAGGCAGATGCCCAATCTTAAATATTCCAACTATCTGAAACATGAGCCAAATATACCTCTTTTCTTTATAAGTTACCCAGCCTCAGGTATTCCTTTATAGCCACATTAAACAGACTGAAATAATTATATAAATATATGGCTTATTCCATTAACTCATTAGGACAGCAATGTGAAGAAAGTATGGTGAGTCCCATTTCACAGATGACCAATCTCCAGCACAAAGAGACTAAGACCCTCTCCAGATTAATGGCAGGACTGGAATGAGGTTCCACCTCTTGCCCTCCCCCACAATATAACCAGCAGCTTCCCATTTGGAAGATGATGGTTTTACACTTCCCCAGTGTGGGACCCTATGAGTACTCACTCAACAATCCCTCATGATGAAGAAGAGGATGGTGGTGCCTACAAGAACTTGAGAGCTGCAAATTTCCAGCCTTGAAGGGGGACCATGGTGCGGCCTGTGAGACATAAGAAACCAGTTAATTACTCACGGTTTGAAAAGGACTCTGACAGCGATGATGATTTTGTTTCTGCAACTATACCTTTAAACAAGAAATCCAGACCATGGGAGTTAAAACAAGACAACCCAAAACCTAACTTGAAGACTCTCCAGAGTAAGGACATCCCACTGCAAGAGACAACCCCTAAAAAAAGAATGGCTTTAGATGACAAGCTCTACCAGAGAGACTTAGAAGTTGCACTAACTTTATCAGTGAAGGAGCTGCCAACAGTCACCATTGATGTGCAGAAGTCTCAAGATAAAAGCATTGAAGGACGTGGCAGTAGTAAAACAGAAACAATGAATAAGTCTCCTCATATCTCTAATTGCAGTGTGGCCAGTGATTATTTAGATTTAGATAAAATTACTAAAGAAGATGATGTTCGTGGTGTTCAAAGGAAAAGAAAAGCAGCATCTAAAGCTGTGGTACAGGAGAGGAAGATTCTTTTGGAAGGCAGCAATAGTGACAGTGCTGATGACACTGAACCAGACTTTGCAACTGGTGAAGATTCTGAGGATGATTCTGATTTTGGTGAGGGTGGAGATAATGATGAAGACTTCACTATGAGAAAAAGTAAAGTTAAAGAAATTAAAAGGAAAGAAGTGAAGATAAAATCCCTGATAGAACAGAAACAGAAGAAATCTAAATGCAAATGTAGTGCTTTGGTGACTTCAGCAGACTCTGCTCCAGCTGCTGTCAAATCAGAATCTCAGTACTCAAAAAGGTTTCTCTTTCTTCAGAGGCCTCTAGAAAGCCATTACAAATATTCAGTCCCTCAGCTGAAAGCAAGAGACCTAAGTGGGTGCCACCAGCGGCATCTGGAAGTAGCAGCAACAATAGCGGCCCACTGACAGGAGTGTTCGTTAAGTCTCCAAATCAGAGTCTCCATCTTGGCTTGTCCAGATTAGCACGAGTTAAACCTTTGCATCTAAGTGCCACTATCAGCAGAGTGTAGTAGCAGATTGAGAGAATCAGTTTTACAAGTGTGTTTATATTTGAGGAGGGTATTGTAATATAAAGGAATCCTTTAACATGTTATATAAATGACCTGTACCCATTCTGTGATTGTGCTCTCTGGAAAGCTATTCAAGACTTCAGTAAGAGATTTGTTAATGAGGATTATTTTCTTGTGCCATTTCCTTCTGAAGAGCTATTCTATCTTCCTGTCAGTTTGACTTGGAGGAAGTCCACATCACACGCTATTCTTTTCTGGTAATGTTATATTCCTTTCTAGTTCTGTCTGGTTTATGCACCTTAACTTTAACTGTTCAGAGTTTTTGTGGCAAAAGGAAAAGTCCCCATTTCTTTCAGGAGACATTTCTGAAATCTTACAAGCTACTTAAGCTATATTGTAGTTTTATTGCAGAGATGTTTTGTATTTTAGCCAAATCGTTTTATAGTAAGAATTCAGAATTATTTTATACATTCAAATGGTTCTGTATTATGGCATATGTCTCCTACTTAAAAGTAGATGGTTATTCTATAGCAAATAGAATTTAATATCATTTTATAAAATCTTTCTTCATTGTCAAAACCTTTAATAAAAGTGGAAAAGCTTTGAAATGCTCTTTTTCTTGATACCATTGCATCTACATTTGTCTCTGATTTTCTATATTTCATGATAAAACAAGAGCTCTGCAAAGAATGGTAGCCTTTTTGTTGTAAATATAAACGGGGGGGGGGGGGACCTGTTTCTTAAGGTAATCACTTTTTGTTAAGCTTGTGCTCTGGACAGGAGCTGTCAAGCACTTAGTCATACCTATCATGATGTTAGATAAAATAACTTTTCAGGAAGCTTGGCTCTGAATTTATTGTGAATAAAAATAGTAATGAATATTTTATATTTATGATGAGAATTTCAACCAGCTCCTGATTACTTTTTAATGAAAATTTTCAAATCATGTTAACCATTAAAAAACATATAATATTTAACTCAGTTCTTCTTGTTTTATGGAAATATCTACATTAATGTGAATATGATTTAGAATTATGATTAAAGTGAGCATTTGCCTATTTAAAAAAAAAAAAAAAGAAGAGGATGGTGAAGATGAAATCCTGTCCTTTGGGCCATGAGGCCAAGCTGTGGGGTCAAATGGATTAGCAGGTCTCTAAGGTTAACTGTGGGGAGAAATAAGGGAACATGACAGGAGGTAGAACAAGGGGAAACAGGGCAATGATTGTCCTCCTTTTCCCCAACTCCTCCAAGAGAGGAGAGCAAAAGCTAGCAGGTCCTTCAAGAGCCACCTCTGCTGCTCTCTCAATCTTTGCCCCGTTCCCACCCCTTAATTTCCACCCTTTGTGACTGTACAGGACATAGACAGAAGGCAAGAATTTGGGGTTCCTTGAGAGGGGACAGAAAGATGGGAGGTGCCCAATGACGAGAATGGTGGATCAGGAAGCAAGGCACTGAAATGCTGGCTCATCCACCGAGTGCTTCATGTTCACTTGCTTCTATGTGTCCCTTGCCATCACTGCCAGACAGCAAGGAGTGCACACATGATAGAAATATCTATTTTCCAAGTGAGGCTAAGAGAGTGAAGTGACTTACGCATGAGACAAGAGTATCCCAGAGTTGCTGGCTTGCGTCTGGCACCATATTATATCTTGTCGGGCAGATATAGTACGAGGCTTTCATTTTGCCCCTCAAGAGCGCAAAGGAAATACGCTTCTCGCACATAAAGTGGGGTGGGGCGGGGGTGGCAGGGAGGAATAAGAGGTCAGGAAAACCAAGGAAACAGGAAGAAATGGGGTGGGTGGTGACTTCATTCTCTTACCTCAAACTCCATCATTGAGTCCATGACTCAGTTGACTGGAAATGGTAGAACTGCCTTCTTTCCTTCCCCCAGCCCCATCAGGGCATTCATCCACTATGTAGAAATGGGCCTGACTCACCGGGAAATTCCTGCCAGTGTTTACCTTCTCTCGACATACTCTCTAGGAGAATGGAAAGTATTTACTGTACGCTGGAGAAACTTGACAAGACACCACCTTAACCAAGTGATGAAGGTTAACATCACCAGTCATGTCCATGTCACGTAGGCATCATGTATGCCCCAGATATGACGTGACAAGAAGGGCACTTCCACTCAGGGGTATTCTTTCTTAAAACCCATAACCATCGTCTAATCACAAGAAAAACAACAGACTAAGTCTGTATTCCTCAAGTATGTAAGGGTTGGCCGGCCACGGTGGCTCACGCCTGTAATCCTAGTGCTCTGGGAGGCCAAGGCAGGCGGATTGCTCGAGGTCAGGAGTTCGAAACCAGCCTGAGCAAGAGCGAGACCCCATCTCTACTATAAATAGAAAGAAATTCATTGGCCAACTAATATATATAGAAAAAATTAGTGGGGCATGGTGGTGCATGCCTGTAGTCCCAGCTACTCGGGAGGCTGAGGCAGGAGGATTGCTTGAGCCCAGGAGTTTGAGGTTGCTGTGAGCTAGGCTGATGCCACGGCACTCACTCTAGCCTGGGCAACAAAGTGAGAATCTGTCTCAAAAAAAAAAAAAAAAAGGAATGTAAGGGTTATGAAAGTCATTTGGCAGTTCCTCAAATAGATAAACAGGGAATTACCATAGGATCCAGTAATTCCACTTTTAGGCACATACCCAAGAGAAATGAAAGCATGTCTACATAAAAACTGGTACATAAATATATGCAGCAGCATCATTCATAATAGACAAAAAATGGAAATCATCCAAATGACTATCAACAGATGAATAGATGAACAAAAATGTGATATATCCATACAATAGAATATTATTCAGCCATAGAAATGAGTGAATTCTGATACAGGCTATAATATATTAATCCACAAACCTTGAAAAATGATGCTAAAACAGGGAAGCCAGATGCAAAAGACCAAATATTGTATGATTCCATTTACATGAAATGTCCAGAAAAAGCAAATCTAGATCACAAAATTTATCTGCATTTGCTGAGGCCAGGGGTGTGTGCCAGTTTAACTACATTTGAGCACAGTAGGATTTCTTAGAGTGACTGAATCATCTAAAACTTGATTGTGGATGGTTGTAACATTCTATACATGTACTAAAAAACATCACATCGTACCCTTAAAATTCATAATTTTTATGTCTGTAAATTATATTGGAAGAAATTCATTTTAAATACGACATTGGCTTGGTTTTTTGTTGTACCACAGGAATGACCAAAGTTTTTCATACAAAGCCTCTGATGCACATGTTTTATATAAACATGTATGTAAAACTGTGGCTATATCCCAGCCACGATGTCTCTATGTCCTGTGTTCCTCCAATGACCTTTCCCCCCACCCCACATGCTACCTGAAGTCTGATTCACATCTGATCACTTCTATATCCTCCAATTATGGCAATGGCTTGAGAGTGGGCCCATGACAGAGTCCAGGGCCTGCCCGCTGTGACTTCACTCCTCTCTAGACTTTTTCACATGATTCCACTTTGGGGAGACTAACTGGCACTACCTCTCTGGATGTCAGTATGATAATACTTATCAAAGGGCTACATAGGTACATACCACTTACACCAATAATTTCTTTTGTACAAATTCATCTTCAGGACATAGTGAAGGATGTGGATAAGGATCTGGTTATAAGGATTGCCATCCTGATAACTCCCTTCCTTCATTCCTGGGCCTAAATTTAGGAAGGGAAACAAAAAGGTATAAAAAAACCACGAAGAGGAAGAAGGAAGCAGAGGGCAATATGGTTGTCAGCACACACACACAAACACACATTCACACATTCATACATTAACCAGGTTCTGTTATCCCAGTACTAGAATTCTCCAAAGACAGTGGCTGGGCTCCAAGAGGACACATTCGGCTTACCAAGTGCTAACGGCCATAGGAACTGTGCCCTTCAGCAGGGTACAGACCTTTAAAAGCTGCCATCCACACAATGTAGATAATAGGGAATATCAGCCGGGCGCGGTGGCTCACGCCTGTAATCCTAGCACTCTGGGAGGCCGAGGCGGGCGGATTGCTCAAGGTCAGGAGTTCAAAACCAGCCTGAGCCTGAGCGAGACCCCGTCTCTACTATAAATATAAAGAAATTAATTGGCCAACTAATATATATATATATATAAATCAGCCGGGCATGGTGGCGCATGCCTGTAGTCCCAGCTACTCGGGAGGCTGAGGCAGGAGGATCGCTTGAGCCCAGGAGTTTGAGGTTGCTGTGAGCTAGGCTGACGCCACGGCACTCACTCTAGCCTAGGCAACAAAGCGAGACTCTGTCTCAAAAAAAAAAAAAAAAATAGGGAATATCAGAACACTCTGAATAACGTGGGGTTGTTAAAATTAATTATGTCACATCCATAGGATGGAATTACAGGAGGCAGTAAAAATAAGTTATAATGAAGACAATAATGAGAAATGATCTGTTGCCTAACCTATTATAGCCACAATGAACATTATTTCCAACTTGGAGACAAAGACACTGTGGTACCATATTGTTAGGAATATACATTAGTAATAATATTCTCAATGTATTGTGTTAATATAAAATTTTATAGGTTTCATGGTTTTGAAAGCATTTTTTGAGCAACACCATAAGGAAATGCTTACAAATGTATCTGCACATATATGAGCAAAGGTGTTATGTTTGCTATTGTTGATAATAAAATGTGGTAAAGGAGCTAAGTTTGTGTCACAAGGTGAAATAAATTTGGCAGCATCCATATGATGAAACATCAACTTCATGTGAAAAAAATCCAACTAAAATTGTGTTGTAATTTAAAACGTTATCATAGAAATGTATCTACATAGAAAAATGGTCATCATAAGGGCAAAAGCAAGTTGCAAAGACCATAAGTGGCCTGGATCCATTTTTGCTCATATGGGTCTGTAGCTGTTTACTGAGAAGACTCAAAACGTAAACATAAAAATGTTTTCTTCCTTTTACATAAAGCTTTCTCTTCAGCATACTGAGCATCTGCACTTTCTGCTTGGAGGCCATCAATACCCCTTTAGCCCGGAAATGCCCCATTTTCCACCCATACTTCCAGAAAGCTCCATAGAGTAGGCTTTTACCAAACAGCTCCCTCCCAGCCCCCAGCTCAGTGACGTTTAAGCTGCAGTTCCAGTTTTTGCCACGGGGGGGCACCAACATATCGCCATCACCAAAGTTCTCTACAAAGATGTTTACGCAATGAGCAAAAAGATATATCCTACCCTAAAACCAAGCCTAGGAACCTATGTACAGAATGATTCAAATTCTGTCAGAAAAAAACCTGATAAGTGTAAAGGAACGCTGTAAAAACACATACTCCAGGGCATCCATATGATGAAATACAGGTATCATGAGCAGCCCTTGGCAGTCCTTAGCAGGCTGACGTAGAGCAACCCTGGGCAGGTGGGAGGTGACTGGGAGAGGATGTGGACACCGGCGAGAGGTCTGTGCAGCTGTGTCCATAGTGTCCTGAAGAGAGGATGACTGACAGGGGATGGGAAAAGGTCTGGGAAGCCTGTACAGGGGTGGGTAATGGAGGGTGAAAGCCCTGCTCTCTGGGAGAGACCCCTCTACAGTGTGGACACCTCAACCCACACTGATGAGGAAAGAGATAGATGAGTGAATGCGGTGTAGATTTGGGGTAAATAGCAAAGGGAAATACTTTAATACACATAAGAATTTTCCAAAGAAAACTGTTATCACAGTAAACCATTACAAGACATTTGTTACTCTTTGAAAAATGTACTCCTCTTCGTGGAAAGAAAGGAGGGGAGGGGAGGGGAGGGGAGGAAAGGAAAGGAAAATGGAGTTGGAGATCATCATTTGCTTACAACCCAGGATTGCAGCTCTAAGAGTCTCAGAACAGGGGGCTCAGCAAGGGGGAAAAAGGAATTGAGGTTTGGAACTTGGTTGAAAGGCATCAGCCAGGGTTTCTAATGGTAGCAATCTTTCTGTATCTTTCATTTTCTGGATATCTAAAGGAAGATTGGTTCTAGGCCACCACTGAACTGAAGGTAAAACAGCACCTGTGAGTGTGTATTTTGGGTGACAGCTAGAGGAGACAACACAGAAACACACACACAGATACACAGTCAATTCATCTACTTTGTTTAAAAAATTGAATACAATTAATGTTTTACAAATTAATGAATACATATACACATGACCTTTGTCAATCTCTTCAGAAGTATTTTTTGTTCAATTTTTATTAAGATACTCTTCTCTTTAACATAACATTTCAAAGAATATACAAAATTATATTCATAAATTGAAATTATCCTACATCTCTCACTGGCCCAACTCCTACCCCTTGGCCCCAAGGGGTCTGTCATCCATAGAATGGTGCATGTAAAGTTTTTGGCGGTGGCAAAAAGAAAAGACAGAGAGAGAGTGGGGCCAAACAATGTGGCTTTATTGAGCGCTCCTGGGGGAAGTTCACGGGTCCCAAGAGAGGGGGGCCTGAGAAGTCACATCCATTTAGAGGGGGTTAGAGCTTTTATACTGTTTGAGGTGAACCAGAGACTTTTGGAGGGAAGAGCTGGGGATTTTCCACTGTGACCTTTGGCAGTTATTGAGAAACAGGAGAGGCTGGTGGTATTTGCGGAATCCAGGAACCGAAAACTTTCTTATCCAGGTGGACATCCGGGTATGGTTGTTCTAAGCGCAGCCTGGCAGTTGTTTTTGGTGGGTCTGGTCTCGTGAGCCTTTTCTTTTTGATCTAGGGAGGGGAGGGGGCCGGCTACCAGCCTTACATCACACTCTCCAGATGTGGCCCTGTAGGTGAGCTGAACACTAACATGTTCACCTACATAGTCTATTCCAAAAAGTGAAATCACGGTCTTCATCTTTTGCCTCTTGTTTCCACTTATTATAAATTATCATGATTTTTAAATATTTGCATCTTAGTTCTTGTGGGTTTTGTGTATTTTAACATATTTATTGTTTGTGTATATATTTATCTGAATTCTTAGTTGAAATAGTTACCAATTGTTTCGTTACCAAGTATGTCTCATAATTCATGGATACTAACCCAAAATCTGATGTTATTTTCAAATTTTTTCTCTCTTCTTTTAATACAATTCTTAGTGAGTTTTTCTTTTCATTTGCAAAGATGGAAATTTTTTAAAATTTCGTTTTGTTTTAAATTTCCATAATGTGATTTAAAAATGATACAGGTCATAATTTCAAAAGAAAAAAAAAACATTGAAAAACACCACTGTCAACCTGGAGGGAGATTAGAGCATTCAGAACCCTGGAGGCACCAAGGAAAAATAATAAAACTTTAGAGTATTCCAGAGTTAGAAGCTGATCAGGAGATAACAAAGGTATCTCCCTGATTTACATAAACTCCCCCAAAGGTAGCAGCCTGATCTGATCAATGGTCATAAGATGGGGTGTTTATGTTTACACTAGGTCATTTGTACATTTGTTTACAGTAGGTCAGTACATGTGACTTTCCTTCCCTCTGGCTCACCTGACCCAAGGCCAAAACCTGAGCTTCTGCCTGAGCCCACTCACCGCTTCAGGGGGCAGCCCACTTATGGGACCATACACCCAGGATTCTTGGTACAAAGGGTGGGATTTCATCTCTTCTGTCATCTTCATCACCCAGAGGGGTGTTGAGTGAGGCCTGTGGGGCCACAATAGCAGGGGAGTGTGATCTGACCATTCCTCAAGCCCTGGAAGCCCATCTTCTAAAGGGGAGGCTGCTGAGGGTCCCCTATGGAGGGCGAGGGCTGGAACCTCATTGCAATCCTGCCACTTATCTGGGGAGGTGACTTAGGCTCTGTGAGCCTGAGCTTGGTCATCTGTGAAGTGGGACTGACCACACCATCCTTACAGAGCTGCCCAGAAGGTCAATGAGAAAATCCGTATAGACTATAAGGCATGGAGTGGGACTTCAATGGCCCCTTGATATATTCAGACACCGCAGCAAAGGCTGGCTGAGCATCAGGACTAAAGAAGCATTGTGAAAAGTCATTTCTCATTGTTTCTCCTCATGAGAACACAGACATTTAGAGGAAGGAAGCAAATATCTCTGATATGCCTTGAATTCAAAGTTTTATAGCCAGAAGGTTCTTCACATTCTTTGGTGTTTCATAATCTCATAAAAGCAGTTTCACATCATGCCTCTTGAGCAACCCCAATCCAGTTCTCAATGCTAGGAAAACTTGCATGTCTGTGAACTCACCTGTTGAGTTCAGATATAGATCACACCATGGAAGCACAGTGTGGTATTTACCTAAGGACTGTTCCTCACTGCTCTGTGTATTAATATATTTATAGGAAAATTCTAGACCTATCCAGTCACCAGTGCAGGGGTCCTTAGATTTTATCCAGCCACATCATACCAGGATATCAGCAATCTGCTGCCTCCCTAAGAGACAAAAACCTAACAGTTACTAGTATTTCTTTCACACAATTTTCCAGCTTTTATTCACTAATAACTAAATATATATTGAGCCCCATACCTCTACTATTCCATTGGAGATGTCTCATTAAATCCATAGTAGAAGGGAAATGAATATATGAGCAACTGCAAGGTTAAATCTGAGATGAGATGGCTTCTTTGTATTAACTTTCAAACATGTTCAAGTTTCAGGGAATTGAAGATTTTTTAAAAATCCCTCTTGCACCCCTTATTATCCACTCAGTGACAGTATCTCCCATTCTCTTCTTCTCTC